GAAGCGAGCACGGACCTCAGGCCATTGGCTTACAAGACCCTGTTACAGCCCGCAGGGCAGCTCTCCAGCGTCCCCGGGAGATGACTGGGCCGATCCCGGACGGCTGGCAACCCCTAGGCTTGGGCTGGGCAATCATTTTTAAAAAGGGGCCACCCCAGCAGGGCGGGGCCAGGAGACTTCTTGTGCTCCCCCCGCCCCTGATTGGCCTGGGGTGGCAGAGCGTGAATTCTAGTCCCCTCCCTCGCCCCCACATACCAGCTGTTAAAAAAACAGCTGGCAGTTCCCTCTAGCTGTGTAGGACGGCTGGCAACCCCTAGGCTTGGGCTGGGCAATCATTTTTAAAAAGGGGCCACCCCAGCAGGGCGGGGCCAGGAGACTTCTTGTGCTCCCCCCGCCCCTGATTGGCCTGGGGTGGCAGAGCGTGAATTCTAGTCCCCTCCCTCGCCCCCACATACCAGCTGTTAAAAAAACAGCTGGCAGTTCCCTCTAGCTGTGTAGTGGGAGGAGACCTCCCGTGCGCTCCCTGCAATGATACACCCATCTCCCCTCAGAAGGGCTACGTCTAGACTGGCATGATTTTCCGCAAAGGCTTTTAACGGAAAAGTTTTCCGTTAAAAGCATTTGCGGAAAAGAGCATCTAGATTGGCACGGACGCTTTTCCGCAAAAGCACTTTTTGCGGAAAAGCGTCCGTGGCCAATCTAGATGCGCTTTTGCGCAAAAAAGCCCCGATCGCCATTTTCGCGATCGGGGCTTTTTTGCGCAAAACAAATCTGAGCTGTCTACACTGGTCCTTTTGCGCAAAAGCTTTGCGCAAAAGGACTTTTGCCTGAACGGGAGCAGCATAGTATTTCCGCGAGAAGCACTGATTTCAGACAGTAGGAAGTCAGTGTTCTGGCGGAAATTCAAGCGGCCAGTGTAGACCGCTGGCAAGTTTTTCCACAAAAGCAACTGCTTTTGCGGAAAAACTTGCCAGTCTAGACACAGCCAAGAAGAAATGTCCTGTGTTTTCAAACTTGCTCTCTGGTCCCTCTAGTTTTCCCAGACCTTCCCCCTCCCTCCCGGGTGGGAGGGAAGATGTCTCCTTCTATCAGCTCTTAGGTGCCCCACTGAGGTGCTGGCAGGCTGATTCTGGAGGTGCCTTTGAGGCAGCAGACTGCAGGTGTGACATGTGAGTGGATCAAAGCCAGGGCCTGATCCCAGTTCTGTTAAAGTCAATGGAAGATTTGTCATTGTCTCCAGCAGAGTTGGATCTGCTGCATAAAGCCATTTAGTCTTTCACCTCATACTGCCTTCTGTAAGCATCCCTATGCCAATTAAAATCTCATTTGTTTTCAGTCTCCCACTATTCAGGCCCTCGAAGCATTCTCTGTCAGATGCGGATTTGCAACCGTAACCCAGCTTTCTAGATACTGTGGTAATCTTCAGTGCTTCAGTGCAAGAACAGTAATTGCAGCATGTAAATTTATCCACAAATAAGTACACTTTTGATCCACTTGGTTTGATTTCATAATAGCATTAAAATATGCA